CAGCAGGAAGATTGGAATGAAATGGAAGTCAAAGGGTGGCACTTTTGGTGGCAGATAGTATGGGCTTTGCTGTGCTGAGAAATCCTCTGTAGTTAGAGTTTTGACCTCAAGAATATAGACCCTGATTTCTTTGAGTTCAGTATAATGCCTGCAGAATGATAGTATTCTTGATGAAGATTCACTTCAAACTTAGACTTTCAACAAAGAATAAAACAAAACCATTTTTCCCTCCAGATGAAAAATGGAATAAGTCTTTTGGTGGTTGTTTGTTTTTAGAAACAAGAGGATGACAGAAAATGATAATCGTCAAATAGTGCATGATGAGGGTTAGTTTCTCTTACTGTCTAGTTCAGTGTATTATAAACAGAGGCTTCTTCCCTGCTTAGGATTTTAGTGACAGTGGTTACATCAAAGAAAACTTTCATCAGTGCTTGATACATTAGGCCTCATGTAAAGGCAATATGTTGAAAAATTTTTTCTGCTTGAATATTTGCTACAAGTAGAATAATTTTAGTTTTTCCTTAAAACCAATATACAAATATTTCTTGTTAGTTCTCTGCTTACATTCCTGGCTTAGAAACTACTGAAGGATGATTGTTAGGGCTTATTGGTAGAAGAAAATGTTGGCGTGAGAGTAGAGATGAGTGGGAGGAATTACCGACCATAAAAATGTTTGTCGAAGGGTCTGGTCTCCTTCTCCCCAATCACTTTGCCCCTACAAAGGGGCATATTGGTTGGCATATTGCTGTTGCTGTATTCAATGGGTATAACTCGAAATACTGTTTCAGTTGCCTAGAAAGCAACTGAATCATTTTACATTTTGAAATGATGTTGATTGCATCTTTAAATGATATTTTAGAGATACTTGGTTAAATAAAATATATTATTAAAATTAAATTTTAAAAAATGTGATGGGGGGACTTCCCTGGTGGCACAGTGGTTTAAGAATCCACCTGCCAATGCAGGGAACACGGGTTTGAGCCCTGGTCTGGGAGGATCCCACATGCCACAGAGCACCCAAGCCTGTGCGCCGCAACTACTGAGCCTGCGCTCTAGAGCCCGTGAGCCACTACTACTGAGCCCGCGTGCCACAACTACTGAAGCCCACGCACCTAGAGCCCATGCTCCATTAACAATAGAAGTCACTGCAGTGAGAAGCCTGCGCACTGCAACAAAGAGTAGCCCCTGCTCGCCGCAACTAGAGAAAGCCCGTGTGCAGCAACGAAGACCCAACACAGCCAAAAATAAATAAATTTTTTAAAAAAATGTAAAGGTATATCATCTTGCTGTATACCATCTCTCTTAAACCTTGATTCGAATATTTTAAGAAAACTAATGAATTGTTTCATAGCTTTGTATTTAAATTTTTTTAAACTTAATTTTGTAATAATTTCAGACTTATAAAAAAGTTGTAAAAATTGTATACAGAATTCCTGTATACATACAGTTTACTCAGATTCTTACATAAACACAGTACAGGAAATAACAGTTTTATAATACTATTACCCAACCTTTAGACTTCATCAGTTGTCCCAGTAATGTCCTTCTGGTTCAGGATCAAATCCAGGATGAAACATTGCATTTGTTGTCATGTCTCTTAAGTTTCCTTTAATATGAAATAATTCTTCAGTCTTTGTTGTTAATCACCTCGATACATTGGAAGAATACTACCAGTTATTTTGTAAAATATTCCTTAATTTGTGTTTGTCTGATAAGTCCCCCTGATTAAATCTAGGTTATGCCATTTTGGCAGGTATACCACAGAAATGATGTCGTGTCCCTAGTGAATCATATCAGGAGGCACTAGTTGATTTACCTCATTCCTGGTGATAATTGGTTTTGATCATTTGCTTCAGATGATGTCTGCTAGGTTTTCTGCTGTAATGTTACAAAGTATGCAAATATCTTGGTTCTCATTATACTTTTACCCACTGATTTTAGCATCCATTGATGATTCTTGCCTGAAACACTTAGTACTGTGGTCTTTGTCATATGGTGATTTTTAAATTTCTTTATAGATTTGTATTTAAAAACATATAGTCCTTGTTTTGCTTTCTGGTTTATTTCCTTATAAAATTGATGAAGAATATTGTAACTCCCAGTGTCTGTAGTCATCAATTTCATTTTCATGCTTTTCTTATTATAAAATGTTTTATTTTATGTCTAATAATCCGGGCCCATACAGGAAATGAAGAGCTATTACCAAAAGTATACTGCTTGTTTGAAATCTCATTGGGCAAGTCTGGCTCTACCTCACTAAAGCCATTATTATATTCTTTAAATAAAACACTGCCACTCATCTCACACTACCCAGGGATCAATCTCTTTTTTGCCATCCTGTTCTACCAAGAAGGAAACCAAGGCATGGGAAGATTGTGACTATCTTCACAAGCTTGACTATCTTGTTTCCTGAAAGTTTGGTGTCTGGCTGTCTTTTGGTGAGAGAAGGATAGTCTCTGTTCCAGAATGAGCCATGAAAATAAATATCCTTATCCTAAAACCTAAGTACTGGCTTCCTTGCCTAAGAGTGATGATCAGAGAAGTCTTTTTTTTTCCCCAATATTTATTTATTTATTTTGTTGCACCAGGTCTTAGTTGCAGAAGGCAGGCTTCTTAGTTTCAGCTCACTGGCTCCTTAGTTGTAGCACATGGGCTCCTTAGTTGCAGCAGGTGGACTCCTTAGTTGTGGCATGCGAACTCTTAGTTGCGGCATGCATGTGGGATCTAGTTCCCTGATGAGGGATCAAACCCGGGCCCCCTGCATTGGGAGTGTGGAGTCTTAACCACTTCGCCACCAGGGAAGTCCCATAATCGGAGAAGTCTTAAGTTGTCTTCCTGTAAGCAGAGAAACCTGAGTTGGCTTTTTTTTTAAGTTAGTATTTCTTTTATTAAAGACGTTGAACATTTTTTCATATTATTTTTCTTCCAGTTTTTTGAGACCCAATTGAAATATAACACTGTATTAGTTTTAGGTATACAACATGTTGATTTGGTATATGTATGTGTCATGAAATGATTACCACAATAACTGATTTGGATTTTATGCCTCTTGTTCTCAGCCTGCTTCGATGACTCAGGGAACTCAAGGAACAATCCAACCTGCTGCCGACTTCGATGCCATGAGAGATGCAGAAATTCTTCGTAAAGCAATGAAGGGTTTTGGTGAGGAAAACGTATTTTTGTCTTATTTACAATCAAATTCAAGTGATTGAATGTAGAGTAAAAATAAGCTTTATATCATAAACCAAGTTTATATGTGAGCCTGTGTGCACATCCCTCAATTTAATCTGGCACCAGACACCTTATAAACATCTAAAAGATGTCATCAAGGAGCACCCCACACAGACCTCATCCTTACTTAGACATGTATGGTTCTTTCAGGTACAGACGAACAGGCAATTGTAGACGTTGTGGCCAATCGTTCCAATGATCAAAGGCAAAACATTAAAGCAGCTTTTAAGACCATGTATGGCAAGGTATGTTTTGTTTTCTTTTCAGGAGTGAGCATGAACAGTGGCCTTATGCCCTGCATTCTGTCAGGTTGGGTACTTTCTTTTTATTCATACTGGTGAGTACAAAGAAGAGACAACTAGATTTCAGAGACCCCAGGAGAGGTGTATTCAATATTTCTTTCTTTCTTTTTTCTTAAATAAATTTATTTATTTATCTGTGGCTGCACTGGGTCTTTGCGGCACATGGGCTTCTCATTGTGGTGGCTTCTCGTGTTGCAGAGCATGGGCTTTATGTGCGCAGGCTTTAGTAGTTGTGGCTCGCGGGCTCTAGAGCGTAGGCTTGGTAGTTGTGGTGCAGGGGCTTGGTTGCTCCACGGCATGTGGGATCCTCCCGGACCAGGGCTCGAACCTGTGTCCTCTGCATTGGCAGGCGGATTCTTAACCACTGCGCCACCAGGGAAGTCCCATCAATATTTATTTCTCTTAGAAGGCTTTCCAGTTCTAGAGTAGTCCTTGATCTCACAGTCATACCTATTTACTATGTCTAGTAGGTGACACATGTTCAGTAAAAAGTAGATTATGACCACAATCCTGATCAGTAGCTTGGTTCTCAATCTGCTCCTAACAGTTGGATTCAAGGACTTCTTATGTAGCCCTTGCTTATTTTTGGTCCCTGGTATCATCTTTCACTCCTCTCCCTCCCTCTAAACATATCTTGTATTATGACTTTATAGAACTTCTTGCCATTCCCTGCACACATACTTCTGTGTTTGGTATATGTTGTTCTCTTGTCCTGGAACACCTTTTCCTTTTTTCCTGCATGGCAAACAAATTCTCCAAGATTTGTCTTGATTAAGCTACTTTGTGAAGTTTCTCTCATTGCTCTGGGCATAATTTGGCTGCTTCTTCCACTGTGGTCCCATAGCACTTTGTAAAACCTCTGCTGTAACTAATCTCACTGCCCGCTCCCCAAAACTGCGAGCTCCCATCAGGCAAACCATGTCATATTCATCTTTGTATTTATAGTACCAAGCACAGGAACACTAACAGATAGCCACTTAAATATTTGTTGAGTTGATGATCAGTGACTAAATCCAGCAAGATTCTGTGGCTGAAAGGTGTCATCGTTTCTTAAATATAAAGGGCAAGACTGGGTAGCATTGGTTTGCCATTTATATAGGAATCCTAAAAATTTTCTGATATCCTCTGAATCCAGTTTACTTTTCTCAGAAGGGAAGTAGAGTTCCACTGGCTGGTCCCACCTCATCTTTTCTACCCTCCCTGCCCAACCCAAAATCCACTTCCTTAGTCTTAAGGCTGATTAAGTGACACAAACTAGTTTCTCTTAGGGTTCAACGTCAGACTCACTTTTCTCACAAATGTATTTTCCACATTATGAATTTCTTTAGTTCACATGTAGTCTGTGCTTTGTTGTCCTGAATTTTCTCATACAGCACTTTTGAATTAAAACTAAATTTCCAGCCTATTTTCCTTACCCACAGCCACCTTTTCTCTTGACTTCTTATTAATAAAAATACTATTCCTCTAGCCTGCCTTGGAGTCTTCTTTGATTCCACACTCTTCTTTGTCAATTAATCAGTGAATATTGTTTCAGTGCCTACTGTATGCCAGGCACTGATTTGTCCTAGCAACTGGTTATTGACTATGTCTTGTTGATGTAATCTGTAAAAGAGCTCTTTAAAAATGTGTCTTCTGTCTCCTTTTTTTCTTTCCACCACTTAAGTCCAAGCCTTTATTACTTCTTACCTAAATATTCCAGTAGCCTAAATTTCGTTTATAGCCTCTGTCGTCATAGTCCGTACTGCCTGTTGATACTGCCTGTTATTGCTATATCAATGCCATTTTCTTACGTAAAAGTTTCCAGCAACTCCTCCCAACATGCAGAATCAAATCCACACTCTTTAGCTTGGTATTCAAGGTAATAATCCAAGCATATAGTTACAACTTTGTTTTACTAATCTCTGAAAACATTACCCTCTAACAAAATTGGTTGTCTTGTTGTTCCATTGAACAAGCTTTGCTCATTCTTGCCTCTATACTATTGATTCTCAATCTTAGCTGAGTATCATAATCTCTTTTCAAACCTAAAAACACACGCAGAATCTCTGGGTATTCATTCTTGACATAAGTGTTGTGTTTTTTTTTTTTAGAAAAATTCTGCTGATGATTTTAATGCATATAGCCAAGGCTGGGAACCACTTTTCTGTCCCTTGTTTGTGTTCTTCCTCCTTGCCTGAAATACCTTTCTTCTTTCTCTTTGCCTGCTAATTTTTACATACTCTTCAAGATCTGGACTAAAAGTTTTCTCTGAGCTCTCTAGCCCACTTTAACTTTTCCTATTTCAGCTTATTTCTGTGCTACTTACTCATGTGGTGCTGGAGTACAGGCTGCTTTATATTAACTTTTTTAAAATGTTTATCTTATCTTTTCAAATAAGAACACGATGATGACAATTTCTACTTCCTCATAGAGTAAGAACAGTTTCTTATACTAAGTAAATATCTGTTTATCATTTTGTTAATTTGAATTATTCTTTGTTTCCTATACCTCTTATTTTGTACCTAGTGTAGTGGTGGAACTATAATAAATATATTATTAAGTTTTTATTGGTAGAATGAGTAAAATATGTCTGCTTGAGTGTAATAAACTTAAAATAAATATTTATTTATTCCTTAGTATATAATATTCAGAACAGCAGTTGAGGCTTTCATATAGCAATTCAATTCCATTTTTTCATATTGTCCTTAAAAAATTTAAGCAAAACAAAATTTGGAGAGCACATATACTTAGTTTGTATTTGTAATTTAACAGGATTTAATCAAAGATCTTAAGTCAGAGTTAAGTGGAAATATGGAAGAACTGATCCTTGCCCTGTTCATGCCACCTACATATTATGATGCCTGGAGTTTACAGAATGCATTGAAGGTACTATATGGCATTTACTTTGAGTATTTTATCCTATTTCAAATGTAAAGCCTGATAAATTATGGCAGTTCTGAATTTATAGTGACAGCTAAATCAGTACATTATTTTATATCATCTGAATATGTAGAGCTTTTCAGGTCTGGAGGCCAAAGAAATATTTGACGGAACAGTAAGATTTAACTACTTTCAGAAATTTCATGTTTTGTTGTATAATTCTCCCTTTCTTCATTTCACATAGGGAGTAGGAACTCAGGAACGTGTATTGATTGAAATTTTATGCACAAGAACAAATCAGGAAATCAGAGAAATTGTCAGATGTTATCAATCAGAATTTGGACGAGACCTTGAAAAGGACATTAGGTCAGATACATCAGGGCATTTTGAACGTTTACTTGTATCCATGTGCCAGGTGAGTATAGCATGAAAGTTTGGGTGTTGGTGGAGGGAACATTTTTTACTGCCTATTGCCAGTGGCCATTCTTTATTCCTTTTAATATTTAGCCCCCTTGGAATCTTGACATCTTTAAGAGGGACAGTGCAGAATCCACTGTACAGGTTTCTTTGTAGTCACTACTGAAATTTATTTCTGCAAATCTGGCCTTTGTAAGGAATCAGAAATTAACCTCTTTAAGGTTGTATGATATCAGAAATCAACTTGAGGCTCTGTGTCTTAGAATGGCGATGAATCTGTACTTTTGAGCTTAGCATTGTACTGCCAGTTAAGTCGGACCATCAACTGAAGGTATGTAGGTCCGCCATGCAAGTGCTACAAGAGTGAGGACTGTGCGGAGAGCCAGAAATGCAGAAAATGTTTCAGCGTTCACAGTAATATTGTGCTTAGTACCCTCCTTGTTCTGATTCCCCAGATGTGCTGGAAAAGTGGCAGAAAATTCTCCAAATAGGGTATTTGGAATGATACTACAAATACACTTAGAATGAGATAATCAGGGTATATTTGAAAGAGATGATGCAAAAGACTAGCACACTGATTCACTATCAGGAGTTGTTGGCTATCCTGCTAGTGCACAGGTTGGACAGTCTTGAAGATTCTAAAAGTAGAGGAGAGGCTCTTCACAGCAAAGGGAGGTAGTTGCAGAAAAGACAGTGTGCCAAAGTGCGTGGGTATGGAAATGAGAAAAGAAAGCAAATGGATGGGAGCACATTGAATTTACCCACAACAGAGTGACAGAGCAGGGGAGTAGGTTAGCATGAAAAGAAAATCAGGACCAGAGAGTTAATGCTAAAAAATGATTATTAAGACTTTAATGAGGTGCTGAATATTTCTTTATGTAGGGTTCAAGGCCCAGCCATCTTTCAAAGTAAAGGTCCCTATTCCAGGGAGTGGCTTCCTAGGAAAATGGGACTGTATTGTGTGCTTGAATCCAAAGGCAATCATCTGGGGAGTTGTTCCTGAGCTCCTTTGCCTGTGCTGTATTCAGTAGCCCATTTAGAATATGCTTCTACACATTCCTTGTGCCCAGTGCTCAGTTTCTCACCTTCAAGGAGCACCTCTCCATTTTGTTGCTCAGACAGACACTGAGACTCTAGAGGGCAGCCTTTCCTTTGTTTGGGTTTGTGTTTCTATTGATATTTTTGAGAGAAACCAACTACCCATCTAAGCTTTACTCTTGTTCAGGCCCAGGCTCTCCCTCTCTTCTTCCCAGTGAAGAGTTTGGTCTATAAATTGGTACAGGCTAGCAGTACTTGAGTTATTTATAACTTCTTCTAAAAGGCTCACATGTCATTGTCATGTATATATTCACAATAAATACTTGTATATTAAGATTACACTTGGATGAAAGAAAGGACGTTCATGAAACCTCCATATTATATACTCCCTCCTTTGACTTAAATTCCTTGAGGGGAGGGTCCCTGTCTTTCTTGTGTCCCCACCACTTAGCACATCCTGTTGTTTCTGTTACTCTGGAGAACCCTGACTAATACAGCCTGGTACAAAGCAAGTGCTCCATACCTTATAGTTACATGGATGAATACAAAGTGGAACTCAGTATAATGCATATTGATCTTAAATCCCAGCTAAGCAGACTCATAATTTCTTTATTTGAGTGGTAGTTTATATCTCCTATTAGAGGAGGTCCTCAGCGTGGCTCAGTAGTCGCTTCATCATGAGAAATCTAAAGTTACTTCAGACCCTGGAGTTCAAGGATATCCAGCCTCCCGGAAACCTCAGTGCTTATCTCTCCGAACTGAACAGGGGACGGTGCTTATTGGCTCAGAACATGAACCGATAGAAGTAGACCCTATCACAAGAGAAGTGAAAAATGAAATTCCTTTGGTGGCAGAAGGCTTTCTCCCGGAGGATAGAAGTGGCTGCATTGTTAGTATTCAGGACTTGCTGGATCATGAGTCTGTGTATGTTGCCACAGCCTCTGGAGGTGTCATATTTTGCAGTCTCAACACACACCATTCTGTTTCTCCTGGCCCAATTACCACCCTTCAAGCCACCTCCTCAGAGAAACATTCTTGGACTCTCCTGGGCCATTTGTCATTCCCTGCTCTGAGCCCGCACTTAATTCCCAGAGACCTCAGTTATAACCCTAATCTCTGTGGAGGCATCTTTTATCTCCTTAATGGGAGGAATGGAGTGGCCATAGTCACTTCCAGTCCTTGTGGTTTCTATCATGCCTAGTCTCTTAATACCTGTTAATAAATGTTTATTGAATAAAAACAAAAACAAAAACCCCAAAACTTCTAAACCAAGGACCAAACCCTGAAGAGTAACTTTTTTAAGAACCCCTTTCTCTTGGTGTACCAAGAAAAAGCTTTTTAAAGTGAATGTTAATAAAATTTTCCACACTTTCAAAAATAAAACGTGTGTGATTTTTTATGGAAACCTTTTTGATTTAATTTAGCTCTCAAAGCCCTGAAAACCTCTCATTTTAATATAACCTCATTAAACCATGGTCATATAAAATCCAAAGTTGGCAGTGTAATAAAGTACTAGTTACACTAGTATAGTTTCTTTGGAAATGAAAGATAAGTGTGACAAACTTTATGCATTAATTTTTAGTAAATTGTCCCTTTAAATCCAGAAGTGACTAGGTTGGAAAAACTTTTTTTTTCTTTTATAATTTTATTTTACTTTTTTGTCACATGGCATGCAGGATCTTTGTTCCCTGAGCAGGGATCGAACTCGTATCCCTGTCATGGGGACCTGTCCCCTGCAGTGGAGGTGCAGAGTCTTAACCATCAGACAACCAGGAAGTCCCAGAAAAACTTTTTTTTTTTTTTTTAATAGAACTTGTATCACCTTCTAATTCCTGCCTTCCTCTTTTGCAGGGAAATCGCGATGAGAACCAGAATGTTAACCACCAGCTGGCTCAGGAAGATGCTCAGCGTCTCTATCAGGCTGGTGAGGGGAGATTAGGGACAGATGAATCTTGCTTTAACATGATTCTTGCCACAAGAAGCTTTCCTCAGCTGAAAGCTACCATGGAGGCGTATTCCAGGGTATGAGCTTTTCTTTTGAAGATTTGGCTTCTGTTTTAAGGTGTGAAAATATTTTCATCACTATACTTTTTGTTTACAGATGGCTAATCGAGATTTGTTAAGCAGTGTCGGCCGTGAGTTTTCTGGAAGTGTTGAAAGTGGTTTGAAGACCATCTGTAAGATACCTAAGTGTTTTGCTTTGTTTTGTTTGTAAATGAGTGAGGCTTTGAATAGTTGTTCCCATTAAGTCGTGATTATTAATATAGCCTCCCTGGAATCTACTTAGGCAGAGGCCAAGCTAATCCTCTGTTTTTATATGCAATTCTCTATGAATGGTTGGTGATGTGATCAAATAGGATTGTTTTGAAATTATTTGGTCTTTATTCTCTATGCCCTTCTTGAGGACTATACAAAAATATATGATAGATTGTAGCATTTCCATTAAGGTGAATAGGAAAGCCCTGAGGAACTACAGAGTGCCACCACACAAAGCCACATTTTGAGCTCTCCAAAACACCTTTCAAGTACTTAGCCCATTGAGACCCTTTTCCATTTGGAAATTAAAAACCCAGTTTTTGGTGTCCTGACATTCAGATGTTTAATGAAATGGAAATTTCATTCTCATGGAGAATATAAAACTAAAGAGAATATTAGTAACACATTGATATTAGCAATTGAATGTCTTACAAATACTACTATAGTAATTGTAGCTAACATAATGATGTATAGTTAGTACATCTCTACCGTCTGCAGGAAGAGACTTTGCTAATTTAATTTTCCTAAGAGAAAACATGTCAGATTTCTTATTATCATTCTCAAATCTTTGCTCAAATCTGTTTTCTTTTTTTATATTGGAGTGTATCTTACATCCTTCTCTCAGACAAATGATATATTTGACATCTAGAATTCAGATTTTAGTCATTCTTCCTTTTAAGTAAGATATTACCAGGGCACAGTTGCTACAGATTTTCTCACTTTAAGGGGGAAAATGTTAAGAAGCTAATGACTGCATCTGTGGAGAGAAAATGGGGTTTATTGGCCAGAGGGAATCTTGTAGAATTGAAGGTAGCCTGTCTGATGCTGCTGGAAAGAAAGAAGGAGGCTGAGAAAAATCAAGGGGAGAAAATCTTCAACTCATCTCAGATTTCTGAGATGATTACATAGAAAATGATCAAAAGCAGCTAGAAGTGATAGATGGTGTGTGCACACCTTTGTCAAGTCATTTCACGTCTGAAGCATCTCTCACTTGCAGTGCAGTGTGCCCTGAACCGCCCTGCCTTCTTTGCTGAGAGGCTGTACTATGCTATGAAAGGTGCCGGCACAGATGACTCCACCCTGGTCAGGATTGTGGTCACTCGAAGTGAGGTGAGGCTTTCTCTGTTTGTCTGATCTTACTTGATTTTGAATTTTGATCCTTTTTTCTTAGCAATATTAAAAACATTTATTTCTTCTAGTTTTATTGAGATATAACTGACACTGTATAAGTTTAAGGTATACAGCATAGTGATTTGACTTATGTACATCATGAATATTTTCACAGTAAGTTTAGTGAACATCCATCATCTCATATAGATACAAGATTAAAGGAAGATGTTTTCCCTTGTGAAGAGAACTTTTAGGATCTACTCTCAACAACTTTCATATATAATGTAAAGCAGTGTTAATTATATTTATCTCGTTGTACATTACATACCTAGTACTTACTTATCTTATAACTCTACGTTTGTACCTTTTGACTGTCTTTCTCTAGTCTTCCCTCTCCAACCCCTCACCTCTGGTAACCACAAATCCGATCTCTTTTTGTATGAGTTTGTTCATTTTTGAAGTATAATTGGCCTACAACACTATGCTTATTTCTATTATACAACATAGTGATTCGATATTTCTATACATTTCAAAAGGATCCCCATGATAAGTCTAGTTATGACATGTCACCTAACAAAGATACTACATAGTTATTGACTATATTCCCCACACTGTACATTTCATACCTGTGACTTACTTATTTTGCAACTGGAAGTTTGTACCTCTAACTCTCCCTCACCTATTTCTTTCCTTCCCCCAACCCCCTCCCTTCTGGCAATTACCTGTTTGTTCATTGTGTCTATAACTGTTTCTGTTTTGTTATGTTCGTTCATTTGTTCTTTTACATTCCACATATAAGTAAAATTGTACAGTATTTGTCTTTCTCTTTCTGACTTAGAATGTTAATTTCTTAAAAGTTCCTTAGTTGGTTGTCAATCTCTCAGGACTGACATTAAGAAAGGGCTCTCTTTCTCACGGCTGGTAGCGGTTGTATAAAGCACAGTGTTCACTTTCCTCATGCTGTGAGAGAGCCTTGCTTAAGTGAAACAGACCGCCAGGGAACTCCAGATGTTTATTATTTGGTTTTCATTTTGCTTATGTAAAAAACTGTATGAGGGAGTTCCCTAGTGGTCTAGTGGTTAGGATTTGGCGCTTTCACTGCCATGGCCTGGGTTCAATCTCTGGTCAGGGAGCTGAGATCCTGAAAGCCACGAGGCGCGGGGGGTAAAAAAAAAGAACTGTATGGAAGACCTATGCAGATTAATCCCACTGGACATAAAAATTCTTAAAATTTAGCATACATTTAATTATGAAATAGCTGTAAAAAATTTTATATTTATCTTTTTACCTAAATATAGCCTCAGATGTATTCCTTTCTTTGACTTTATTTAGTGGGCTTCTTTTTAATCAAGAGAAAACATATGCTATGAAATTATATGAAAGAAGGTAAATCATTTTTTAAAAGAGAACCGTAATACAGTATTTGGAAAAACCTTCTTGTGTATTTATTTTTAGACTTAAATTTTCTAAGCAGGATCCCTTTTTCTTTAATTATAATAAAATATATGTAACACAAGATTCCCATTTTAATCATTTTTAAGTGTACAGTTCAGTGACATTAAGTACATTTACTTTGTTGTGCAACCATCACCACCAGAACTTTTTCACCTTACAAAACTGAAAACTCATTAAACAATAATTCACCATTCTCCTTGCTCCCCAGCTCCTGGCAACCACCATTCTGCTTTCTGTTCTATGTATTTGACTACTCTAGATACTTCATATAAGTGGAATCATACAGTATTTGTCCTTTTTAACATCTTCAAGGTTCATCCACATTGTAGCATGTGTCAGGATTTCCTTCTTTTCTAAGGCTGAATAATGTTCCATCGTATGCATACACCACTTTTTGTTTATTCATTCATCCGTCAATGGACACTTAGGTTGCTTCCACCTTTTGGCTGTTATGATTAATGCTGCTGTGAACATGGGTGTACAAATTTTGAGTCTCTGCTTTCACTTTTGTGTATACCCAGAAGTGGAATGGCTGTATCATATGGTAATTCTGTTTTTATTTTATTTTTTTGAGGAATTACCATACCATTTTCCCGTGGCAGCACCATTTTACATTCCTACCAGCAATGTACAAGAGTTCCAACTTCTCCATATCCTTGCCAACACTTGTTATTTTCTGTGTTTTTGATAATAGCCATTCTATCAAATGGTTTTTAAATGACTAATATATTTGGAATAGTAGATGAAACTAGTATCACCCTTATTCAATATCTTTACAGAACAGTGAATCAGACATTCACTGGGTGACACTAGTACTGGTATGAATGCTAGCTATAAAATGCCAGTCATCTGGTGTTTTTTCCCCTCTGCTTTGGTTATAATTAGGATCTTTTCACTATTAAAGAATAATTCTAATAACAGTTTTCTTTAACAGCTGTTTTCTAATATCAAAAATATCATGTCTTGCATGCAGATTGATCTTGTACAAATAAAACAGATGTTCAGTCAGATGTATCAGAAGACCCTGGGCACAAGGATTGCAAGTGATACGAGTGGAGATTACCGAAGGCTTCTTCTGGCCATTGTGGGCCAGTAGGAGAGATTTTTTTTTTAAATGAGTGAAGCTATTCAGAGCTTATCCTTCAAAGCAATGATTGACCTGCATGCAGCAACATCAACCCTCACCTAACCAAAAGAGCTTTTTACTAAAGACTGTGTCAGGGTATTGTGCTTGGTTAGCACATGTGGTTATTGCCTTAATTCCAATGTTATTTTTTTCTCTATATACGATCAAGTAAAGCCATATCACAATGATGAAGTAATAATGCAATGTTTGTAAAGCATAATTCTCACTGCTCTTATTCTAAATAGGATACCAAATTGAATAAAAATCACAACAGTCTGTAATTCTGTGTAATAATATTGAATAAAAAATTCAATATTGAATAAATTTGAATAAATATTGAATTTAAAAAAAAACCCTTGCCTTCCATTGGACAGTTATAGTTGGTAATATGTCAAAACTGTATTACTTTTTTAAAAAATTCAGCTCTTTTGACCTAGAAGAGCAATTTGCATCTTACTTTACATAAATAGGTATTCTATATTCATAAACACTAAACTTCCCACACAGAAAATAGTTTAGTATTGCCTGTAATAACTTTTAAAAAAGGGATTATGTGTTTATGTGCATAAAATATATAGCCTACTTTTACGTCTACTGAGACTGCCTAGAGGTCCTTATTGGCCCTTGATTTTTTTAAAAAAATTATGAAAGACTTTAATTTTAGTTGCAATTTAATCATGATTCAAGACAGTGAAGCTTGACACATAAGAGGTGCTGAATTAATGAATAAACGAGGCTTAAATCATCTTCCTGGGAGATTGAATACTAGCTCTTTGGAGAAGTAGTTCAGGGAGTCAGTGATTTCAAACCTGGCTTTATTCCCAGTACTGAGCAATTACTTATCGAGTATGTTGAGCATTACAGTAGGTAGTTAGGGAAAGTATCAATACAAAGGAAGGAGGTTTGTAATCTAGTGGGGGTTCTAAACAAAAATTAGGATACAAGGAAATTGTAAATGTTAGATTATAAATTCTGCTGAGGGTAATAACCTATTTGTTCTTTGTGTTGAGCTCCCTGGCACAAAGCAGATATTTAATACAGATCTGGTGAATGATTGTACTAAAAATTGAGGGGGAGAATAGTAATTATCAATTATATTTCGATAAACATTTGTTTTGTGTAAGTACCAAGGGACATACATACAAGGTGGTATAAGACACAACTTTACTCTTAGAGAGATAGACCTATGTACAACTGTAGTGCAGGGCAAAAGCAAGATGCATAGGTAGAAGGATCACTGGCTAAGATTTTTTTTTTTTTTTTTTGCTCTACGCAGGCCTCTCACTGCTGTGGCCTCTCCAGTTGCGGAGCACAGGCTCCGGACGCGCAGGCTCAGCGGCCATGGCTTACGGGCCTAGCCGCTCCACGGCATGTGAGATCTTCCCGGACAGGGGCACGAATCTGTGTCCCCTGCATCAGCAGGCGGACTCTCAATCACTGCGCCACCAGGGAAGCCCTAAGATAGATTTTTGATATAGGTTTTGGAAAAGTAAGTAACAGTGATGGGATTTGGTAAAGGTGAGAAAGAGGGGTGTAAGGTACTAGGGAAAG